TTCCTTTGTTTCGGGCTTAAGCCATCGGAAGACTGGGACCACGAGACCTCTGCCCCGTTCCACGCTCCTCCGGGCACCCAGATAACACCAGATATCGATCTGGTGATGGTCGCCACACTCGCCCAGTGCTTAGCACCTCACCCAGTGCTGAGTTTCGGGCTTCCAGGCATACAGCTGCATGGTGTACTTGGTGACTCAGAGTTTGTCATTAACTGCGTTCTCTTTACAGTCTCTCAAATGCTGTAGCAGGCAAGCTATTTCTTCCCTCAAGTGTGGGTAGCCTAAGATTAAATATTAGACTTGGTTTGGATTTTTTTTTTTTTTTAACAACTCACACCCCTTCCCCAGCCTCAGCAGCAGTCTAAACAGTCAACAAGTAGGGGCTGTGAAAAAGGATTGATGTTGAATTTCTGGGAATTCTGGGAAGCAGAGGAGGGGAGAAGAGACTCTGTAACAGGGACACCTGAGTATCTTGGTGTTTTCTCTCAAATGTGATGGGTCTTACCAGTGGTGTTACTTATCCACACATCAGTCTCTCCTTTGGGGGTGGGTTGCTTTGAGGAGGTAGTTTTTTGTTTGTTTTCCCCTGTTGCTATTATTGCAGAGGAGTTGGTGTTTTTGGTTTTTTTAACAAGAGTTTGTACATGAGAGCTGACTGTCCAGTCAGTTCATATGAGGATATGATGGGTTTTCTGATGCAGAAACATGAGTTCTCAGGTGAAGTAAAAGGATAATTTCTAAATGAGATTTGGCACTGAAAGACTTGTGATTGTACTTGAGGTATCAATCTGTTTTCCATAATCTGTAGAAAGACTAGGATGTCCTTTAGCAGTTTTTTTTTTATTTTGTTTTTGTGGTTTATTGTGGTGGCTTTTTTTTTTTTTCCATTTTGGATAGGGCCACACGTGAATTTTTACACTTAAGGGAATAGCTGAAGTTTTGTTGCTGGTGTGGAATGATTATGAGAAGGAAAAAAAAAATCTTTCAGTTGGGCTAAAGTGGCACATACCTAAATTTTTAGCTAAAGCACTCTAATGAGCACTACTTGCATACCTTGCACTTCTCAAGTCCTTGCCTTTTGATGTTTTTTCTTTCATTATTCATCAGAAAAGTTCTGACTTCCCTTGTGGAGAAAACAAATGGATCTACAAATAAGATCCACATCACAAATGAGTTTGTTTTTTTTTTTAGGTTATTACTGTGTTATCATTTTATATGTTTTGAGCTCAGGATATTCAACTAAAAGAATCTGGCTGATGCATGACTTTGTATTGAGGATGTTGTGGGGACAGTGGTTAGATACATGGGTTTTTATTTTTTCTTAAAAGTTATCTTTTTCTCTGAAAGATGGTGGACCCTACTCTAGCAGAAATGGGAAAGAATCTGAATGAAGCAATGAAGATGCTAGAAGACAATCAAAGGTATGGACAAAGGATAACAACTACAAAAACAATAGTCGTTTGTGCTAAGGGAAGAATTATTAATGTCACTGTCATTAATCAGGAAAGAAATTTTCCTAGTAGTTTAGGGTCATATTGTCATTCTGTCACTTACACCTACACAAATCACAATTGTTTCTGAAATGATGGAATTTTTGTAATAGGTGTATGTGTTTTTCTGCATGTTCCATACTATTCAGAGCAAGTCTGTTTTTTCAGAGATGTTAGATTTGTTTTTTCGTATTACTGTGCAAGTAACTTTTAAAATTTCTCTCTATATGGGATTTTTCTGTAAGTTTGAAGATTTCTGTTAAAAAAATAAAACCCCAGAACTTAGGAACTCTTTAATTCAATCTGAGATAAACTGTTCTGGTTTTGTGTCTGATTTATTTATGAAACTCTTGTCAGTGAAACAGATTACAAAGGTGTCAGCATGTGTTTCTGCAAGTCAAAGTCAACTACATATTTCATGTTATAGACCACAAACTAAATATGTAGTTTATTCTTGTGTCTTTAACTTAGAAAAGTGGAGGAGGAAAAGAAGTATGCACGGAAGGATATTCCTGGACCACTCCAAGGCAGGTAGGCAACACCAATTTTTAGATAATGCTCTTTACTTTTCAGATTCTGTAAAATACATGTGATGTGTTTGTTTTCCAAGCAAATTCTGTGTTAATGCAAACATGATCAAACTTGTCCTTGGTGACTGAAATTTTTAACTGTTAGAATCTGATAAAGTGTTGGTGCCTACAGTTGTGATTGGGACTTAGAGTAAATACAGATGAACTTGTGCTATAGAAAAAAGTTTCATTAAAACTCCCAGAAAAAAAAACTTAGTTTTGTTTTTCGGTGAGCTCGATTTCATGTTTATTGAAATATCCTACTATAATTAAGTAGGAGTTTGAATTAATTGGTTCAGCTGCTTGTCTTCGTGATCTGTTTTTCTGCGAGCAAGGAAGTGTTTTTGTTGCTGTACTTGGCATCCAGTAAACGTGCAGTGTTGTCTTTGTGTCTTACCATGCAGTGTCCCAAATGGCCTTTTTGTTAAAAAAAAAAAAAAAAAGGTTAAGCAGTGGCACTTAATGTATTTTTTTGTTTTCCCCTCCCTGTCTGCCAGTGGCCAGGATATGGTGAGCATACTTCAGTTAGTCCAGAACCTGATGCATGGAGAGGAGGAAGAGGAAACTCCCCAGGCCTACCGGTAAAGCCAACATGAATTATTGTATATGCAAGACACCTGATTCTGTTACATTCTGATTATTATAGGACTTACAAATTTAAGTGTTTTGAAGGGTAAATATTTTGTGCAACCATATAAGTTTTAAAAGGCAATTTAAATTCTGTAGTGAACCAGAATAATGCATTTGGCTTGGTTTTCTTAAAATTTTGAAGCTTTCATTACTGATTACAAAATCTAATTACAATAGAGATTTTTTTCTGATCTGGCAACTCATTTTGTATTCTGCTTTTTTGAGAGTTCTTTTAAGTCTGAAAGCCTTACAAAACTTTGAATACTAATTATGTTTTTACCATATCTCTCTGTAGATATTGAAGAAAAAAAGGAAACAAAAACTGTTTCTATTTTTCTGTAAAATGGAAGTAATGCTAACAGATCTGCAGAAGGTTATTGAAAACTAACATCTGAAAAACAGTTTGAAGATGAAAAAAACACAAGCAAAAAACTTCCGACAAACTAGTGAAAGCTATGCCTCTAAAGATGTTAACAATAAGTCTCTTGAGTTTTCTCTGCATGAGAAGAGAAAGGTGTGTGCTTAGTGCAGTTTGAAGTCCCAGTGCAGACAAGGCAATTAGCTCCAGCTCATGGCAACTGATTGGCTAAAAAAGAAACAGAGGTGTTGTTGTAAGCAGCTATGCCAAGTGAAGTGCAAGTGCTTTTTGTCTGCACTGGCGTTTTGGCGTGCAACACACACTGGCAGGAAGGTGACTGTGGTATACTGTACTTTGCTAAATATTTAAAATTGCATGTCAACAAATTCTGCCCCTCTACAGTTAAAACACACAAAGCTAAAATTACTGTAATGTTCATGACTTGTATTTAGTTGGCAGTTACTTTGTTCTGGCTTGCAGACTTCAAAATGTCGGAGAACAGGGTCACATGGCTTTACTGGGACATAGTTTGGCTGCTTATATATCAGTTCTGGACAGGGAAAGACTGAGAAAACTTACAACAAGGATCCTCTCTGATACTACTCTCTGGCTCTGCAGGCTTTTCAGGTGAGTCACTGTGAATAGCTTATGTATGACTTGGTAGTGATAATTGTTTAAAAATACATGTGACTGGATTGAGGATGTCAACAAAAGAAATCACTGTGCCACAAACAAATATTCTTTGGAAGGTCTGAAACATGTCACATAATTTAAAAAAAACCCTGTTGAATGGCAGGAGCTTAATAGTAATGTGGCTGCCATAAAAATCCTTTTATAAGGGCTAAATGACAGAGCTAAGGGCCAGACTACAGTTGCAGGCATAGTTAGACATTTAACTAAATTCTTGTTTCTTGAGGCATACGTTATGTTGATGAGGCTTGGGGTACTTCATATTTTTAAATAGTGTCTTCAGTTAATATGGCCTCTGCTCTTCTTGGATCTAGCTTATTTTTCCAGCTCCGGTAGGTGACATCACTGAAATTTACAGTACAGTGAAATGTTCTATAAATGCCTGTTTCATCATGTAGCATAGATAATATTAAACTGTTCTGTGGGAGAAGAATGGAAATAGCTGTGTGGGAGTGTTGGAGTGGAGGGGATTCACTAATAAGCAATTCCTTTTTATTTCCTTCCTGAAGGAAAAAAAAACAAAAACAAAACAAAAAAATCCCAAACCACACTACTTTCTTCATCTCATGATACTGCATCTTTCAAAAAAATCTTGCCTGTGCTACTTTTTTTTTTTTTTTTAGTGCAGTGCAGGATGAAATGATAAAAATATAACTGAAGTTAACCCAAATTTCATTGTTAGAATTACAAAGGATTTTTCCTACATTGATGGACTCGCCTCTGTCAGAATTATTTTACAAATTCAATTATTATGTTTTTCTGTCTTTGACTTAAAGATGTTGAAACCTTGTGCAATGATGAAATTTGAGAAGCTGCAGGTAATCCAGCTACTTTGACAAACGTATCTGTGTGTAGAGAGTGTGTCAGTGATACTTCTGAATGACATTGCTAACAAAAAGAAATATTTCTGCTTTGAATCAAGTATTCAATAACATTATGATTTTGTGATTAGTGCTGGGTATGTATTGGACTGTGGTCCCCAAAGTGACCCGTAGGTGACAGCACTGAATGAATACCATGCTGTGAACTGCTTTGTTCTTCTTGACATTTTATGTGGCGATGAGCAACTCTAGAGGGATTTCCTTTTGCCCATGTTATATTGCAGAACTGTTGTGTAGTAAACGTTTGCATGTGGGTCATTCTGGAATTCAGCTCTGGAATACTCAGCAGTACTTGTGTGTCAGTCTGTGATCACCTAAGTTTTTTAAGGGCCTTTATGTAAATTTGTTGATAAATGCTGCTCTTAAATTGTGCAAGACCATTGACTTGTGTGCTGTACAAAAATGCTCAAAGAAAAATGCTTGCAAGTTGCTTAGTAAGTTGGCACACTTACACTTTGGCTGTTGCCATTTCCTTTTCTATATTTAAGACAGCTGAAGGACTGCCCTCAATGTGGAACACTCACCCCTCATCTCTCCTTTGGTTACTTTGCTCCTGTTTCTTGACTGTAAAGGTTAATGTGCTGATCTGAGTTTGATTCTTAGAAGAATTAAAAAAGGTGGTGGGAGGAGCACACACACACCCTTACGAGCCTCAAGATGACATGTATAACAAATCAGATTGAGGGCAAAATTGCCATAAAAATCATTAAAATATTCCTAGGGGAAACTATACTTCATTTCTCTAACTTGAATAATTAAAACATCTAGAAAACTGTCTTGCAGTCTGATGAATAGATTGTACTAAATTATGGTCTCATTTTCAAACTCTCTAAAATAGAAATGACATCAGTAATTTTGAATATTATGAAATACCTTGATTTGTGACTTCACAATAAAGCTTGCAGATTTCTGTCCATTTACCTTTATGTGTCTCATTCCAGTTTTACTAACTTAAAGAATGTCAGGTTGCATTCTCTTTAATGTTAGCAGTCCAGAATTCACATATGTATTAAGACCAAGTGAAACCTTCTGTGCATTTCCTCCCCACCTCTGCTCTTAATAAGGTGTTGAAATCTGTAAAGGCAGTCCTTAGGAACCCAGATGTTTACTTTCTTATTTTTACTTTTCATATTTACTTTCTTAGTTTATCTCTAAGTGAAATTAAATGCTAGGCTTCCCTCAGAATTTTATAACTTATACAATTAATTTATAATTTTAATTTTAAATTAATTATTCTTCCAGCCTATCTTGTCAAAGTTTCCTTCTACTCTAGCCTAGAAAAACAGAAGTTTTTTTTTCTCTGTCTTTGTCTTTTTGTGGTCTCCCTTGCTGGTCAATGTTATTTTAGTCACTAAACTGGCTGTTGGTTTTGTTGGTCTTATTTAGTCAGCTTTTCTTGCAGGTATGAAAATGGGTCAGCGTATTATCATGAAGATGATCGTGAAGGTCTCCTGAAAATCTGTAGACTTGTTATTCACACGCGCTATGAAGATTATACAATAGAAGGATTTAACGTGCTCTATACTAAGCAGCCTGTCATATACATTAGCTCAGCAGCTAGAACAGGCTTGGGCCAAGCTCTCTGCAATCAGGTAAAGTGAATCATTTGTGGGTTTAGCTGCAAGTAGAACCTACCTGGCTTCATATCCTCTACTTGAAATTTGGGGGTTAAAAATATGTTCAGACTTCTGCAGAGGACTGGTACTTGCGGTGCACTCTGGTACACTATGGGCAGCAGCCTTGTAAATTGGTTTGGGCCAATGAAAATTTTTCCTATGGATTCATGTGTCTGCGTGGAACTTCCACCATTAGAAGTGAAGCTACTTGGAAATCTTTCACAACGCTGCTATGTTGAGTGACCATGTGTATTCCCAAAGCAAGTCCAGCAGGCTCTCTGCAGCTCTCCTGTTGGTTACACACGTTTGCTTGGTTAGTGTTCCTCACGAGCAGATTGCCTTCATCCTTGTCTCTTCTTTGCCTTTCGATGGGCATAGTAGATTTTTATAATTTATAAAATTGTGTGTTTCTGAGACGTAGGATGATGTGTCTGCCTGTTGAAACAGTGTAAAAAGGGGCATTTTGAAGAATGAGGACTGAGTTTTGGCCACAAAAAAAGAGATGACTTTAGGAAAAGCAAACTTCAGTGATTTTTGAAAACTTACTATTTTTCCTCATGGTAGAAACAATTGCAGTGTGACTAAACTACAGCACATTGGGGATGGGGAAAGGGAGTCTGAGGTGAAACCACACTTTGGTGCCAGCCAGATATCTGCTAGCTTCTAATACAAAAATGTTATACAGTGTGTTGGTATTGCTTTAGTAGTTGGGATTTCCAACATGATTATAAAACATAAGCAAAGGAAGTGAAATCCTTACTGGGCGTAACCTCGGCTATAGTGGGTCACATGTTTAAGTTAAAACCATTTATCTGGAAAAAAATACTTTTGGTTTGCATTTACAGTCTGGTTTTTGCAGCAACAATACAGTGGGAGGAGGAGAAATGTTCTGAATATTTCCAGTGAAAGGATCCTACATGCTAACTCTTCTTTTTGTAAAAGAGTGTTTGTTGCTAGATTGCATTGTACTTTAAGTAAGCTGTTGGTCATGGTGGAAAAGACCTAACTCCAACCATACTGGGTTTCCAAGCACCTTTATTGCAAAATTTGTACTGCATGATGCCCCTGTATTCTTACTTTCAGAGAAGATCTTCCTCCTCCTCCCCCTACCCTGGGAAAACAATTGAGGGAGAAGTAGGCTGTGCTGATCCCATTTAAAAAAGTTGTTTGGAATAGCAAGATTACCCAAACAACCCAGCACTTTAAAGAAACCCAGTTTTCCCTGCTAATGTGTAAAAGTTACTGGTTTTGCCAGATATTTATTTGTATGAATGTTTATAGTCTTAAATAAGCTAATTGAGGCCATATACAGACTTTCCTGTTGCTTACCTAACATTCAGTGTACCAGTGATATTCTTCAAGCTTAACATGGGCTGACATGAAGAGTCAAGTTCTTAGGGCCTTTGTTTTTCACATCTTTGCAGAAGGCAGGCAGAGTAGGTAGGGCACCACTCTTGTTAGCACAGTCTTTTGTTTGTAAGCTAGCCTGTCCACATTAGGTGATCACTGAACTTAAAAGTGATAGCATTTTATCTTTGATCTTGAGAAGTAGCATGTGTAGTAGTGAAGGCAACTGGAACTGAGTAACTGGACAATTCAGTTTCTGTTAAAGTATAAAACCAAACTAGCCTGTAGCTGTAGTTCTCTTAATTTGTTGAATCTTCTGTTCAGTGATGTGTGATCAGCTAGATTTCACTTGTTGAGTGATATTCCAAGTTAAAGGTGAAAATGTAAGAGACCTTGATTGCCCAGCTCCCCCTCACATTAATGATGCAAAAGCTACCTGGAATTTGCCTCTGTACTGAAGGGAGAACATCACACTCAGGAGTGACTAGTCAGCTGAGCTGTGTGGTTGAAATGGGGGGATTGCTCTCTACTCAACATAAAGTGACTGTGAATCTCCATGGGAGCGTGGCCAAAGCACAAGACAGACATTTGCTTACAGATATATTAATTACAGGAGTGGCCAAGAAAAAGAGTATTGAGTTCAGACTGTGCTACAGGGCAGGGAAATCATTAGAATAACCTGCATGTAGTTCACATGCTAACAAAAAGTTGACTTTTTTTCCCGTTTCTTCTGTGCTTGCTTTTCCCGGCTTCTAATTTGATTGTAAGTTTTAGCAGGAAACTTACTTACAATGTAATATCCAGCTTTTTGTTGCTGTGTTTACTATATTTGGTGTTACTGCATATTTCTGTGAACACTTGAAATGAGTTTGTCTCTATGGTTGACATTCCATTGGTTTTATTGCAGCTGGGGTTACCCCTTTCTTGCATGTGCCGTGTGCCTTGTAACACTATGTTTGGATCACAACACCAAATGGTGAGTTCGTCTTCCTTAAGAGCTCTTTTTTTTTTTAAAACAAAACAAAACAGCCTCATTAAATTAGTATCAAGTATGCTTTTAGGAAAAGCTTATTCATGTACTTTATTTTTCAACCTCTGCATCTCTGTGTTACAGCTGTACAAATCATAGATTGAAATCTAAACTCTCAGCAGCTTGTATCTTGGTCTAATCATTTGCTAGGTATTTTTAATGGCGTATACTAAGGTGCTCTTTAGTCCAAGATTTCTAGAATATCTGTAGTCAAAGGTATGTTTATAAACTATGTGATGTGTTTGTGTTGTATTTTTCACGTGCTTTATCTGACATTCACATTGTTTTTCCTTTGAGAAGAAACAGTAAGCCAAGAAGACATTAAGAATGTCTTCCAGAACTTCAGAATGCTGTCAGTGTTCACTCTTAACACAACTGTCCAGTTCAGCACAAACAATTCTGTATCGTTTGACAAATGTGTTTATAAATACTGATCTTTTTCTCAATTGATAACAGGATGTTGCGTTGTTGGACAGAGTGATTAAAGATGATGTTGAGTCTGGAAAAGTGCCCTTGTTGCTTGTGGCCAATGCGGGTAAGTGCTATGGACAAACAATAAGAAAAAACCTATGCTATTTCATGAATGTGTATGAATTTAGGCTATCAGGTAGTGACAGGACTAGGGGGAATGGGGCAAAGCTGGAAGTGGGCAGCTCAGGCTGGATGTGAGGAAGAAGTTCTTCCCCATGAGAGTGGTGAGACCCTGGAATGGGTTGCCCAGGGAGGTGGTTGAGGCCCCATCCCTGGTGGTTTTTAAGGCCAGGCTGGATGAGGCTCTGGGCAGCCTGATCTAGTGGGAGGTGTCCCTGCTCATGGCAGAGAGGTTGGAACTGGGTGATCCTTGTGGTCCCTTCCAACCCTGACAGATTCTGATCTGTTTTAGCAGAGTACTTTAGAACCCTAATGGCTCAATGATTGGACTTGATCTTAAAGATCTCTTCCAACCTAAAGGATTCTATGATTCTATAAGAAAAGAGAGCTGGTCTCTCTACTAGATGGCTAGCTGAAAGAGCAGGGGGAAGGGTAGGAAGAACTATCTCTCGCCCTTCCCTCTCTCCTGGGAGCACTTCTGGCCCTTCAGTCTCTCTGAAAACACACCAAAAAAAAGTGAAAACAACTCCCTCC